CTCTTATCCCCCCCCTTCCCACCCTCTCCTCCTCTCTCCAATTCCTCTACCTTCTCTCTCAACCCCCATCCCTCTCCCCTCCACCACCCCCTCAACTGCTGTCCTCTCCTCATCTCATCTTCCCCCTCTCCTCTCCTTTTTGCTCTATAACTTGTTTCTGCTTCTCTCCTCCCTTTGCCTTCCAACTCCTTCCCTGCTCTATTTCCTCTTTTCCCTTTCCCTCCCATCACCTCTTCTATCCTCTTTTCTTCCCCTCCATACTCTTCTCCGCTTCCCCCGTCCCTTCTCCTCCTCTGTCATTTTCTCCCTTTCTCCTCACTTCTTCTCTGCTGTCCCCTCTTTCCTCCTACCATCCCCTCTTTTTTTTTCTTCCTCCCCTCCCTCTCTTTGCCATCTTCCCTTCTCTCCTTTCCTTTCTCCCATCCTCTTATCTCCTCTCCTCTTTTCACCTCCTACCCTCCTCTCTTCTCTCTTCTTCTCTTCTCCACACTTTTCTGCTCCTCTCCTCTCCCCTCTTCTTTGCTCTTCTCTCCCCCCTCTTTTCGCAACTCCTATCCTCCCCTCTTTTCTCCTCTCCCCTCATACATCCTCTCTTCTGTCTCCTTCTCCCCTCCCCTCCACCCCTTACTACTCTTCTCCTCTCTCCTTTACTTTCCTCTCCTCTTCTCTCCCTTTTTCTCCCCATCCTCCTCTCCTCTACTTTCCTCTTCTCTCCTCTTTTTCTCACCTCCTCTTCTCTCTTTCTTCTCCTCTCCTCTCCTTTTTCCTTTCTCCTCTCCATCTCTTAGCTCTCTTCCCTTTTTCTTTTTTCCTCTTTCCCATCCTTTTCTCTATTCCCCTCTTTTCTCACCTCCTATTCATTCTTCTCTTTTCTTTTCCCCTACATTTGTTTCTCAGCTTCTCCCCTCTTCTTTCCTCTCCTCCCCTTTTCTTTCTAATCCTCTTCTCTTCTTTCCTCTCCTCTGCTCCCATCTCCCTCTCCTGTCTCTCCTTTCCTCCCACCCCCTCCTTCTCCCCCCCCCCCCTCCCCTCCTCCCCTCTCCCCTCCTCCTTTCCTCTCTCCTCCCCTCCCTTCCCCTCTCCTCTCTTCTCCTCTCCTCCCCTTTCCTCTTACTCCCCTTCCCTCTACTCTCCTCTCTTCTCCTCTCCCCTCCCTCTCCTCTTCTTTCCTCTCCTTCTTCTCTCTCCCCTCTCCTCCCCCCTCCTCTTCTCCCCTCTCCTCCTTTCCTCTCTCCTCTCCTCCCCTCTCCTCTTACTCCTCTTCTTTCCTCTCCTCTCCCCTCCCTCTCCTCTTCTTTCCTCTCCTCTCTTCTCCTCTTCTCTTCTTTCTGCTCCTCTCTTCACTTCTTCTTTCCTCTACTCCCCTCCCCTCTCTCTCCTCTTCTTTCCTCTCCAATCTTCACTTCTTCTTTTCTCTCCTCTCCTCTTCTTTCCTCTCCTCTCCTCTCATCTACTCTTCTTTCCTCTCCTCTTTTCCCCTCCCCTCCCTCTCCTCTTCTTTTCTATCCTCTCCCTTCTTCTTTGTCAAGGTCCTACCTTTTCCCAGAGGTTATGTTACTCCATGTGCTGGCGTCCATCTTGGATTCTGCTGTGCATGATGGGAATCCTTTTATGCCTTCAGGTCTCTGAGGTCCATCCCCCAGAGGGGTGTGGCTGATGACATATAAGCCTGTGGCCCGCACATGCTCTTTGCACTTGTGTCTTGTGTCTTTGTGTTGCTATTACTCTGTTCTGACTCTCGTGACTCTCCTGGTATCTGATTCGGCTTGTGACTCGACCATTCTTTGTATTCTCCTTTGATCTGACCCTCTGTTGCTGAACTCGGCTGGTGACCTGTGATTCTCGTCTGCTGTCCTGTACTGTTTTGTCCTGTTGTTGTTGACCCCGGCTTGTCTGACTACTCTTTTGTCTCTTCCACCAGCTACACGCCATTGGCGGCGGCCATTGCCGCAGCTGAGGTGTCTCGGGGGCCGCGACCTGGTTCCTGGCTGCGTCAAGTCCATCCCCACCATCAGGGGCCCTGGTGAAGGGCAGCCTGGGACTTAGACTCCGCGCCCTGAGGGACTTCGGTCTGTGGGTGGTGGTTGTCGTCAGCCAGTGCGTTACATTGTTAGGCCTGCCTGTCCGTTCCTCGGCCCCTGCCCTGACATTCTTTCCTCTCTTCCCCTCTTTTCTCCTCTTCTCCCCCCTTCACACTTTTCTACTCCTCTCCCTTTTCCTTCCTCCTCTCCATCTTTTAGCTCTCTTCCCTTTTATTTTTTCCTCTTTCCCATCCTCTTCTCTCTTCCCCTTTTTTCTCACCTCCTATTCTCTCTTCTCTCTTCTTTTCCCCTCCACCTGTTTCTACTCCTCTCCTCTCCTCTCCTCTCCTCTCCCCCTCCCCTCCCCTCCTCTCCCCTCTCCTCTCCTCTCCCCTCCCCTCCCCTCCCCTCCCCTCCCCTCCCCTCCCCTCCCCTCCCCTCTCCTCCCCTCCTCCTCTCCTCTCCTCTCCTCTCCTCTCCCCTCTCCTCTCCTCTCCTCTCCCCTCCCCCTCCCCTCCCCTCTCCTCTCCTCTCCTCTCTTCTCCCCTCCTCTCCTCTCCTCTCCTCTCCAATTAGGATTCAGGTCAGGATTTCAGGCACTGTAGAATGGGTCCCGGTGTCATGACACCATGATAGTTTGGGTACTTTTTTTGTATTTCAGGACACTCTAGTAGAGGCCAGAGTTCCCCTTAAAGGCTCTTTCCCTCTTTCCTGGACCCGGCCCACAGGCCCACCACACTCGGGTGCTTTGCGGATTCAGATCCTAATTAAAAACCGGAGCTTGTTCCCTCTTGAAAAACAAACTTGGCAATGAGCATGGAGTGAAATATTTGATTGGGGTCCGCGGTGTTATTGTCCCTTCTATAACCTTGAATGGTGGGACTGTTTATTTAGTGATTTAACGGAGCGCGGACCCTCTGAGGGCTCACCAAGTCCAACAAAAATACATTTTGATCCCTCCAAAGCAATAATTCGCCCTCGCCATGTGTCTGCTCTCCAACACTTGGAGCGCGGCCAGCCAAGAACCTGACCTGGGAAATACCATGCCGAGCCGGTAAAAGTAACATATCCTGAGCGCGCCGTGCCCGTTAACCCATCGCGCCGTCAGCCTGTCCGCCGGATACCTGAACTCTGCTGTCCTCTGTCACCCCCAACCTCATCCATCAATGTCTGGGCTGAGCTCACCACACCAACCAATCCTGGCCTTCCCTTCTGTATGAAAGGGGGATTCACCTGCTGCTGAGCACAACGGACACCATTTTTTAAAAAATTTCTTTGAAAAAATTACGATTCAAAGTCTATTCAATTTCCTCTCCTCACTTTTCTTTTCTCTTCTCCTCTTCTCTCCTCCCCTCTCCAATGATAGGACACTATTCCTCCCACTGACACCAATGACGGGGCACTATTCCTCCCACTGACACCAATGGCGGGGCACTATTCCTCCCACTGACACCAATGATGGGGCACTATTCCCCCCACTGACACCAATGACGGGGCACTATTCCTCCCACTGACACCAATGATGGGGCACTATTCCCCCCACTGACACCAATGACGGGGCACTATTCCTCCCACTGACACCAATGATGGGACACTATTCCTCCCACTGACATCAATGACGGGGCACTATTCCTCCCACTGACACCAATGATGGGGCACTATTCCTCCCACTGATACCAATGATGGGGCACTATTCCTCCCACTGACACCAATGATGGGGCACTATTCCCCCCACTGACACCAATGATGGGGCACTATTCCTCCCACTGACACCAATGATGGGACACTATTCCTCCCACTGACATCAATGATGGGGCACTATTCCTCCCACTGACACCAATGATGCGGCACTATTCCTCCCACTGATACCAATGATGGGGCACTATTCCTCCCACTGACACCAATGATGCGGCACTATTCCTCCCACTGACACCAATGATGCGGCACTATTCCTCCCACTGATACCAATGATGCGGCACTTCCTCCCACTGACACCAATGATGGGGCACTATTCCCCCACTGACACCAATAATGGGGCACTATTCCTTCCACTGACACCAATGATGGGGCACTATTCCTCCCACTGACACCAATGATGGGGCACTATTCCTCCCACTGACACCAATGATGGGGCACTATTCCTCCCACTGACACCAATGATGGGGCACTATTCCTCCCACTGACACCAATGATGGGGGCACTATTCCTCCCACTGACACAAATGATGGGGGACTATTCCTCCCACTGACACCAATGATGGGAGCACAATTGCTTTCCGTAGGTGGAATAGTGCGATGGGTTCCCTCTCATCCCAGTCGGTGTGATTTAACTTGTCAGCAATCTCAGTTTGGGGTGGAGCCACGCTTTACACGCCAGGAGAGCGCATTCCACACACGTGATCTCCATCGGGTCAGGCGGCGCTGTTATGAAAGCGCAGGATTGGGGAAGCGAAGGAACACCAACAGGAAGCGGATGACGCTGGGGCTGAGTGCAGATTGGTGTCACCGTTCAGCTATGTCAGGCATCTGCAGGAAGTCGTGTCGGAGAGTTCCGGCGTTGGCTGCACTCCCCCTGCGCTCCGCCGCTCTCCGGTGTTTTCCTGTGATAAGGACCAGGATTATGGAACGTGAAGAGCGACGGATGGAGGCGACCGCCCAACATTCACCTGGTTGTAGGAAAAGATGGAATCTGACTGGTCACCACACTGCACCCCGGTGGCCACAACCTTCTGTAGGTTTAAATTTGGGGGTCGTCCCCCCGGGGTCCCCCCCCCCCCCCTATCATTTTCATGTTTCAAAATAAAACTTTTTCATTTCATTACCTTCCTTATTTTATACCTGGTGATGTCATCCCTGGGCCTCTGTGCTTCTCTATGCAATGCAGGCAGATCATGGCTGGTGGTAGGGGCCAGCAGGGGGCTGTACATAGCTTCTTGAAAACATCACAGCACCCCGCCTCTGTACTCCTCCGAAGAGCCCTCAGTGGGGGGAGTAATGCAACTTTCAAAATGCCTTGATAGGTGGATTTCTGGAGGAGTGGGCGGTCCTAGGCAGGCTGTATATGCATACAGAACACCCACATGTGATGCTGAGCCTCCATGATTGAAAGAACGGGAATCCGGGAGGAGCCGGTACACCTGTGCAAGACTGAAGGGGAGGAGCCGGTACACCTGTGCAAGACTGAAGGGGAGGAGCCAGTACACCTGTGCAAGACTGAAGGGGAGGAGCCGGTACACCTGTGCAAGACTGAAGGGGAGGAGCCAGTACACCTGTGCAAGACTGGAGGGGAGGAGCCGGTACACCTGTGCAAGACTGAAGGGGAGGATCCTTTACACCTGTGCAAGACTGAAAGGGAGGAGCCGATACACCTGTGCAAGACTGGAGGGGAGGAGCCGGTACAGCTGTGCAAGACTGAAGGGGAGGAGCCGGTACACCTGGGCAAGACTGAAGGGGAGGAGCCGGTACACCTGGGCAAGACTGAAGGGGAGGAGCCAGTACATGTGCATGACTGAAGGGGAGGAGCCAGTACATGTGCATGACTGAGGGGGAGGAGCCGGTACACCCCCGTGGAAGTCTGGAGGGGAGGAACCGGTACACCTGTGCAAGACTGAAGGGGAGGAGCCAGTACACCTCTGCAAGACTGAAGGGGAGGAGCCAGTACACCTGTGTAAGACTGAAGGGGAGGAGCTGGTACACCTATGAAAAACTGAAGGGGAGGAGCCAGAGGGAGGATTTATTCAGAAGAAATGATATATGGTCATAAAATGCGCTGTCACATTTTGTTTTCTGGGGTGGAACAGTGGAGTGTCCCTTTAAGTAAGAACTCTCAGACAGGTTTCCGGAGATGATGATTAATCCGCTGGCTCCATCACTTCCCAGGGATGTCTCTTTGCAGCACTGAGGTAGAGCAGCAACAATCGATCAATCAAGGACTCCGCCTTCTCAAGGCCATAGGGTTTGATAAACATAAAGAGCAGATGTGGGGAAGATCCGGCACTCTCTCTGAGACCTTGCCTGCACCCCACCAGTACCTGTCCCCTGGCACGCTTCAATGCTGGGCTCTGACGCCCGCGTGTCCCCCATTCTATTCTGTTCTTTTTTTTACAAATATCGGAAGAATATTATTTCTATTTTATTCGATTTTGTTCCTCTATGTTCCATTCTATTTTATTCTACTGTTTTATTTTCTGTTCTATTCTATTCTTTTTGAATTCTGAATGGCTACATTCTTTCTATTTTATTCTATTCTGTTCTATATTTTTTCTGTTCTATTCTTTTTTATTCTACTGTTTTATTTTCGATTCTATTCTGTTGTACTTCTATTCTTTTCACAATTTGAATTTCGGAAGATTTATTTATTTATTTATTTATTTATCGTGTTTATATAGCGCCAAAGGGTTTGCTCAGCGCTGTACAGTAGGGGGGGACAATACATGAAACAGAACAGTAACATCAAACAGTACACAAGGGGTTAGAGGGCCCTACTCTTTCGAGCTTACAATCTAGGAGGGAGGGGGTAGAGGCACCGGGGAAGCGGCTGTGGGGGGATGAAGTGGTAGGAGGAGGGAAGGGCAGCGGCTGTTAGGTGAGGGTGGGGTAGGCTTCCCTGAAGAGGTGGGTTTTCAGGGAGCGCCTGAAGGTGAGGAGGGACGGTGACAGTCTGATGGATTGGGGTAGTGAGTTCCAGAGGATGGGGGAGGACCTGGAGAAGTCTTGCAGTCGTGCGTGGGAGGAGGAGACCAGGGAGCAAGATAGAAGAAGGTCCTGTGAAGAGCGAAGGGTACGGGTAGGGTGGTACCTGGGGATCAGATCGGTGAGGTAGTTAGGGGCAGTGTGTGTGAATGGCCTTATAGGTCAGGGTGAGCAATTTGAATTTAATGCGTTGGGCAATGGGGAGCCAGTGGAGGGAGAGGCAGAGAGGGGTGGCAGAGGTGGAGCGGCTGGTGAGGTGGATGAGTCTGGCCGCTGAGTTCAGGATGGTCTGAAGCGGGGAGAGCCTGCACTGGGTAGGCCGGTGAGGAGGGAGTTGCAGTAGTCCAGGCGTGAGATAATCAGGGAGTGTACTAGTAGTTTAGTGGTGTCTGGGGTAAGGAAGGAACGTATCCTGGCGATGTTCCGGAGGTGGAGCCTGCATGTGTTTGTGAGAGATTTGATATGAGGTTGAAAGGAAAGGTTTGAGTCCAGAATGACGCCAAGGACCTTGGCTTGCTGGGCGGGATTGATGGTGGTGTTGTTGGTAGTGATGGAAAGGATGGGGGGGGGGGGGGGGGCGCGGGCTGGGGGAAGATGAGAAGCTCGGTTTTGGAGAGGTTGAGTTTGAGGAAATTGAGCGACATCCAGTCAGAGATGTCGTTTAGGAGGTGAGTGATGCGGGCGGAGAATGAGGGGGTGAGGTGAGGGTGGATAGGTAGATGGCTATATTCTCCCACTAATACACGCGGTCTCTGAAGTAAAGCAAAATGTTTATACTTTGAATTTGTTTTCGAATTGCGGACTGAGCAGGGGATCAGCAGAGCTGGAGGTTACTACTGAGTGGGGGATCAGCAGAGCTGGGGGTTACTACTGAGTGGGGGATCAGCAGAGCTGGGGGTTACTACTGAGTGGGGGATCAGCAGAGCCTGGGGTTACTACTGAGTGGGGGATCAGCAGAGCTGGGGGTTACTACTCAGCGAGGGATCAGCAGAGATGGGGTTTGCTACTGAGTGGGGGATCAGCAGAGCCTGGGGTTACTACTGAGTGGGGGATCAGCAGAGCCGGTGGTTACTACTGAATGAGGGATCAGCAGAGCTGGGGGTTACTACTGAGTGGGGGATCAGCAGAGCCTGGGGTTACTACTGAGTGGGGGAGATCAGCAGAGCTGGGGGGGTTACTACTCAGCGAGGGATCAGCAGAGCTGGGGTTTTGCTACTGAGTGGGGGATCAGCAGAGCCTGGGGTTACTACTGAGTGGGGGATCAGCAGAGCCGGTGGTTACTACTGAATGAGGGATCAGCAGAGCTGGGGGTTACTACTGAGTGGGGGATCAGCAGAGCTGGTGGTTACTACTGAGTGAGGAATTAGCAGAGCAGGGGGTTACTACTGAGCTGGGGATCATCAGAGCTGGGGGTTACTACTGAGCGGGGGATCAGCAGAGCTGGGGGTTACTACTGAGTGGGGGATCAGCAGAGCTGGGGGTTACTACTGAGCGAGGGATCAGCAGAGCTGGGGGTTACTACTGAGTGGGGGATCAGCAGAGCCGGGGGTTACTACTGAGTGGGGGATCAGCAGAGCTGGGGGTTACTACTGAGTGGGGGATCAGCAGAGCCGGGGGTTACTACTGAGTGGGGGATCAGCAGAGCCGGGGGTTACTACTGAGTGAGGGATCAGCAGAGCTGGGGGTTACTACTGAGTGAGGGATCAGCAGAGCTGGGGGTTACTACTGAGTGGGGGATCAGCAGAGCTGGGGGTTACTACTGAGTGGGGGATCAGCAGAGCTGGGGGTTACTACTGAGTTGGGGATTAGCAGAGCTGGGGGTTACTACTGAGTGAGGGATCAGCAGAGCTGGGAGTTACTACTGAGTGAGGGATCAGCAGAGCTGGGGGTTACTACTGAGCGGGGGATCAGCAGAGCCGGGGGTTACTACTGAGTGGGGGATCAGCAGAGCCGGGGTTACTACTGAGTGAGGGATCAGCAGAGCTGGGGGTTACTACTGAGTGAGGGATCAGCAGAGCTGGGGGTTACTACAGAGCAAGGGATCAGCAGAGCTGGGGGTTACTACTGAGAGGGATCAGCAGAGCTGGGGGTTACTACTGAGAGGGATCAGCAGAGCTGGGGGCTACTACTGAGCGGGGGATCAGCAGAGCCAGGGGTTACTACTGAGTGAGGGATCAGCAGAGCTGGGGGTTACTACTGAGTGAGGGATCAGCAGAGCTGGGGGTTACTACAGAGCGAGGGATCAGCAGAGCTGGGGGTTACTACTGAGAGGGATCAGCAGAGCTGGGGGTTACTACTGAGAGGGATCAGCAGAGCTGGGGGCTACTACTGAGGGGGATCAGCAGAGCTGGGGGCTACTACTGAGCGGGGGATCAGCAGAGCTGGGGGCTACTACTGAGTGGGGGATCAGCAGAGCTGGGGGTTACTACTGAGAGGGATCAGCAGAGCTGGGGGTTACTACTGAGAGGGATCAGCAGAGCTGGGGGCTACTACTGAGCGGGGGATCAGCAGAGCTGGGGGCTACTACTGAGCGGGGGATCAGCAGAGCTGGGGGCTACTACTGAGTGGGGGATCAGCAGAGCTGGGGGTTACTACAGAGCAAGGGATCAGCAGAGCTGGGGGTTACTACTGAGAGGGATCAGCAGAGCTGGGGGTTACTACTGAGAGGGATCAGCAGAGCTGGGGGCTACTACTGAGAGGGATCAGCAGAGCTGGGGGTTACTACTGAGAGGGATCAGCAGAGCTGGGGGTTACTACAGAGCAAGGGATCAGCAGAGCTGGGGGCTACTACTGAGCGGGGGATCAGCAGAGCTGGGGGCTACTACTGAGCGGGGGGGGAAGATCAGATCAGCAGAGCTGGGGGCTACTACTGAGTGGGGGATCAGCAGAGCTGGGGTTACTACTAAGTTGGGGATCAGCAGACCAGGCTCTTTAATGTGCGTTTCAGTCGCAGCGAGTGTAACCGAGCCCTAGGTGGTTCGTCTATAAATGTCGGGGACCAGAAGGACGCAGCTTCTCAAGAGATAATAAAAAAGAGAAAAAAGGATGAAAAGTCGTAACTCAACAAATAAGAATAAACAATACAAAATTTTTTAGCAAATATGTCCACCAAAAAAAAAAAATGTCTCCCTCATTGGTGGGTCAGATCCAGGCGCTCCCCCTTGTACCGAATCCTCACACATCACTCCGGGTGATTGATTGCTTCCCATCCAATCGGATGATAGGAAACCATTCTCTGGGCCGTATCAATCAACGAGCTTTTAACACGAGGAACAATTTTCAGCAATTAGAGACGGGCTGTCGGGAAAGGTGCGCGCCGCCAACAACCAATTAGCAGAGAGCAGGGGCCATCTAGAAACTCGGGCTCTGCCCAAGGGCCCGGGGTCAGTAGGGGGCCCCATGAAATGCCCCTGGTACCTTTTTCATAGGCTTTTTTGAGCTTGGGCAAGGACACAGGGGCCCCATGATCCCCTATTGCCCGGGGGCCCCATGAGTTGTCAGTCTGCCCCTGGCGGAGAGCATTAAGTGCGCCGAGAGGCAATCCCGGGCCGGGCCAATCAGGTGACACCAACCAGACCAAAGGAAAGGACCGGGAACACTAGAACAAAAAAATATTATTTTTCCTGAAATTTCGAATTTTGCTATTTTTAAAAAAATTTTATTCATATATTTTTAGTTATGTTATTATTTTTTTTCCCCAATTTTGCCATTCTTTACATTAAGGAGAAAAGCTAAATTCAGATGGTGTTAAGGATGCGATGGGCCCTCAGGGGCCATTTATTGCTCATTTCACCTGTTCTTATTTTTATTGAAATTTTTTTTTAAATAAACACATTATCAGGAATGTTTGTTTTTATTTTTGCTGTTTATAACAGTCTCCCTTACATCAGAGTCCCCCCTTATATCAGGATCCCCATCAGAGTTCCCCTTACATCAGAGTCCCCCCATATATCAGGATCCCCATCGGAGTTCCCCTTACAGAGTCAC